TATATTTTTTAGCAAATATTGTTTTTGTTATGATGTTCCAAATATTGTTATGATCACAATACCGTATAATAATTGTTTGTTTATATGAATCCGTATTTATCTTTGTTATTCTGAAATTATCTGAGCTCATCTTTAATATTCTTTATTTTTCTAAACATATTTGTATCAATTCTTAGTCAGACTTAATTAAAAAAACTGAACAAATGGTTCTTTGGAGAAATCGTGTCTTTCGTTAGGGAGAATATTTCGATAGGAGTTAGTCAATTTGTGGAAGTCGAATGTGGAGGTCATATGTACATAGTGTAATTAAGTGTATGAATTTTAGGTCAGAGATTATTGTCTTGTTTATTATCCTGCAAAAGGCAGCAGTGTACTACCAAAACTATGGGATCGTGAGGCTTTTATAGAGTGGTAGCCAGTAGCCACGTATAGACTGCAGCGGCGAGTGCACCACGACAAAGTACCTAAATAAACATACTACATAATACAAAGTTAATAATATATTTTAATCGTAATGCTAATTATTACATGATTGTTAGTCGCATTTAAGATTGTTAGTTAGTATCTTTTTAGCAGTAAAGTTATTCAATGATAATAAGCCCTGTCAATACGTAACTAACTCAAATATTGTAGGGCCTTTATCTTCAGCACCCAAATAACTTAAGCACCTAATCAAAATTTGCAACTAATTAACTTAAGAACCTAATTAATTTCTGCGCTTAATTAACTTCATCACCTAATATAGCCGATAATATCATAATTTATCGTCACTCAGATGTTAACATGCTTCAAGCCCACGTGAAAACATTTGCATGTCCGGTAGTCCGTGGCTCGTGCAGACTGCAGCTATAATTAAAGCTGTGTTCATACATGAGTACTCTCAAAAATTAACAACGGTCAACGGATTTATTATCGGGGAACTAATTTTTTTGTTTGCGTCTCCATGTCTAGCGTTACGACAGTTGATATAAAAAAGATGTGTTTCGCCCCCAGTTTTACATGATTTACATTCTTAAATTCATATAATTTGTAACAACTGCTGCTGATCTCAACTCTAAAAAAATAAAATGAAAATTTTGAGGCTATTGAATCCAGTTATATGTTGTTAGTTGCATGTAAATATTTCCTGGAATGAGCCATGCTCCTGAAAAGCTCTCAGTCAGACAGGAAGACTTTATTTTCAACTCCGTACTATGTACATACTAAATAAAGCTATGCTTCCTTGTTGTTGCAAAGTAAAATAAATTTATCGAGAAGGAAGTGTCTGAAAAAACATGGTACCTTGAGAGGAGCCAACAACAGAACGAAAAGTTTATTGAACCTAACATAGAAACGAAAAATATTTTAGAATATTTTATGACAGCAAAATACATCACATGTCGCAGCACGACGAATATATCCATGAAGTTTATGTCGGAAAAAGGTTTGATGGTCGAAAAAACTTATCAGATCTTACGTGGCGACAAAGTGTATTTTGGATCTATAGTGTCTTGATGAGAAGTTTGTCATAAAGCCTACGACTAAGAAGGCTTTCAAGTGGACGAGTAAATCGCCTCTAACCATTCTTGGGCTTTTATCCCCGTCAGGTAAAATAGAATAGCCCGGCCGGAAATGGCCCTCGAGAATCCTCTGGGAGAAAATCACCAGGGCACTGTCAAAGTTACGGGTCTTCTTATTAAGGAACATACATATGAGCAACAATATGCGGAAGAAACTGCTGGAACTTAAGTTGTTAGACTATTAAAAAAATGCGTTTAGTTTCCCTCATAATGTGAACAGAATGATCTTCGGATTGCTTGAGTACTTTAAACAAGGTAAGACAAATGTTGCTGCAATTAGCGTGTGCCACTAGAATTTTATTAACTGTAAAAAATCACGGGAAATTTCGTTGGGTAGACTATTCGGTAATATAACCAGAAACTAATTATTTCTGTTTTTTTTTTAAATAACAAGAAATAATGGCTTCTTTTAAACATTTCAAATAAGAATGAGGTTATTATAGCGCGATTGGAGTTGCTTACAATTTACGCACATTTAATTAGAAAACTGGCGACAAATTGCCGATAAACTGACCATAAGTTTAATAAAATACCCCTCGCTGCGTGTTATATTAATTGACTAAAATATGATGTACTTTGGTTGTCGCCTGAGAGTACTGATGCCTGAGAGTACTTTGGTTGTCGCCTCCAGGTTATTGCCCTGCCATGACACGAGGTTTGTTTCCTCCAATAAGCAAGCGCAATAGAGTAATTATACGCGCAATTAATCTCACGTTTAATTGAATATAATAACAAGCGCAGGAGGATAACAACGTGCTTTGAACTCAGCCACGTGCTAATAAGTTAGTGGGAAGTTCTGCAAATCTCACATTTTTAAGCTCATGAGAGAGAACAAACTTTAATTGCCAATTTTCGCTTACATTTTAAAACTGAATTGTAATTGAAGGCTTTTTAATTTTTCGAGGGATATTGCTAGAGCATTTATTGCTTCAAAATTACTCCAGCCATAATATACAACGTGAAAGAAAATTTATTAAGGGAGCGAATTTTCTGCGAATTCAAGTTTTAATGGCATAATTGACGAGACAGTGCGAAATAATACATTGCTAAACACTACTAAGTTTAATAACAATCATACATTAATTCTAATGAGTTATGATACAGTGTTGCAAAATCTAAGGCGATGTAATGATTCGTTCCATCTCGTCAATCCCACCCAAGAATGTTTCGTTTCGTCTATGTTTAGCGAGAGTGCGGCGCAACACAACCGTGCATACCGCGCAGTTTTAGCTTGAGTGTCGAAGTAAAATATTGTCCTCTTGAACAATAATATGTATAGCCGATAATTATAATATCATAATTTATCGTCACTCAGATGTTAACGTGCTTCAAACCCACGTGAAAACATTTGCATGTCCGGTAGTCCGTGGCTCGTGCAGACTGCAGATGTAATTAAAGCTGTGTTCATACATGAGTACTCTCAAAAATTAACAACGATCAACGGATTATCGTCACTCAGTAGCAGTCGTCACTCGATCTCTTGCGCTTCCTCTAGCTTGCGTCACCGGAACCATGCCACGGCCGTTCACGAGCATCACAAGCCCCACAATATTGAACTCAGCGCCACTTTTTACTGGCGCCACAATAATTGATGTCAATAATTGATGTCTCCATGCACGGCCGCCATTCGGGGGTAATTGAACCCTTTGCTCTCCATCGCAAATTCCGAGATTATCACCCATCCATTCGCCAATACTACGTACTTTTTAGATCCAGCATGGCTATAGAAGGAACATTCTTGAAAATATACAGCCGAGTGAATAGAAGTTTGTTTGTAATATTTTGCAGTCGTTCCGAAACTTGATGCAGTGCCATTCTTGTACATCATCGATTTTTCGTTAATCTTTGAATTTATTCCTTAGATTCATTGTAATGTGGATGATTCATCAGACACTTGAATGAAAACAGATAATTTTTGTTGATCTCAACCATGCGTGCAGGAAATCAAGCTCGAGACTGTGGTTTGAAGGGGAGCTGAAAACGAAAGCTTGTGCTCGGTGCATCGACAGCAAATTATGCCTTGCCTGCACTCCTGCTCATCGTCGCATGAACCAATAGCTCAGGGTCACTGCTCTAATCTATCATTGCAATCTCCTATCATCAGTGATTAAACCAAGTGATTGATTCTCAAATGCTATAATGCATGCAGTGGCGTTTGAACGTAAAGTGACTCAAAAGCACGCTAGCGATTACAAATCATGTTTGCGACACGCGCGTCAACCGAGATGCAATATTGACTTTTAAGTGTATTAATTATATCATTTTCATGCCAGTCATTTTCATACTGTCTAAGACAGTAGAATTACATAAATTTTTATGGGTAACAATTTTCCGATCGCTGAATCATTGAATCGTTAAGCTATACTGCCTAAGCTATTAGTTTGAATGACATGACTTACTTCTGGATTCATTTCAGTTTGTAACCATAAGTTAATTTAAAAGAGATTCAAACAGCGTATTTTTTAAAAGCCGAAGTTTAAAAAACAAAGTTTTCTATAAAACAGGAATAAAGCAATAGCTGGTGTTATGAAACGTAATGCTCAATTATCAACATGATGTAAAACAAGTCTCTTTGCACATCATTTATAAGTTACAAACGACTCCCCTACCTTGTGTGGGATTTAGCAAAGGATGATCTGGCGTAATTGCTGCTACGTTTTCACCACTTTTTGGTCTGTAACTAGAAAATAGACCACAAGCGCTATTTTCAAATTTCCAGGTAAGTTTAAAGTGCTGCCAGCAGGGCAATATAAGCAGATAAATATCTGTTCAATACTGAACACGTTTCTTTTTAATTTTAACGGTGGTAATTTTACTTTAAACAATACATGAGGGTTAATTTTATAAATTTCGTGTCATTCCTTTCAACATGGGTCGAGAGACACTTTTTCAACAGAATCTTCAAATTCGAAATAGTGAGCTAAAAAATGTAACTAAGGTAGAATTCACTTGGCTTGCAATATATTTCACATTAGAACGTGCTCCACCATACCAATTTCATCGTATCGGTTACAAATGATGTGTTTCGAAAATCTTTCATGCAACACACGAACGATGAAAGTACTTTTTTCGGGGTAAAACCTCTGTTAATGAGAAAAAGTACCTCGGTTAGAGCTGTCCGACCACAAGATAATTTTCTGGCATATCTGATGAAAATTTTCTATGTACATTTTTCACGCCAATAAAATCCATTCCGCAGTTCCCAGTGAAAAATTCATGTCCTTCAATTGACAGATTCTGGAAGAAAAGTGAATTGGTTTCAGCTTTCGAGGGACTTTCAGACTTTCGAGTGAAAAATGACATTCACAAGCAAAAGACTTCCGATCTCTCCAATCAGACACTTCTCTTAAAATAAAAATTTTTACTACAATTTTGGGAGTGGAGGTTGCAATTGCAATGTTAAAGCTCACAAGGTTACTTTCCTTTTGACTATTTGTCGAATTTGACGATCGTTCTACTAATTGCCGACATGGAGAGTCTTGAAGATATTCGTTACATGAGATGGCATCAGCTGAGTTGCAACGCTAGCAGGATAGCAACAGCAACCTTAAATTCGTGCAATATGCAACGCTGGAACCACACCAGCCCCACACCCACAGTCAGCTTCAACTACTCTTTCACATCTTCATTTGAAAATATCAGTCTTGAGGACTTTTCGTGTAGTGGCCAAATAAAAACCCCGAATTTAAGTGACATGTTGAATTTTGCATGCGACAAATGCTCGCCGTTACAAGAGCCACAAGTCAAAGAGCTTTGGCGGCAAGGGATTTGCCAGCATCCTTCCAGCACCATCTTCAACGTGGTCGTCTTCTGCCTCTACGTAGCCGTGCTAGTGGCCGCTGTAATCGGCAACACGCTTGTGGTCTTCGTTGTCGGTGGAACAGCCAAAATGAGAACCGTGACCAATTACTTCATCCTGAACCTTGCCGTTGGGGACTTGCTGATGGCAATATTTTGCATACCCTTCACCTTCGCCACCACCATCATCCTGCAGTACTGGCCCTTCGGAGCGGCCATGTGCGTCGTCCTCAACTACCTCCAGGTGAGCTCGCCACTTTTCAACTATTTATTGATGATAAAGTATAATTAAATTTAATACGTCTAATGCACATGTGGCACAAAAAATATAATTGAAAAAATATAAACAGCATATCTTAAAACAGAAACTTTTAGTGCTGTAATTTCAATACAATCACCTACACGCGAACACGTAGACTTGGTCAACAGCCAATTACTGAAATATATTAACTCACAATAACATTATTGAAATTCATAAATGATTAGGGATCAAAATCCAAACTAATTTTGAATCACATTGCCAACGGACTAACTGACACTCACTGTTTGAGGAAAATTTAAAGTTTATCTAGCGAAATCACGTCTCGCAAGCTCTAATTTAACTTCTGAATAACTTCAGCTCTGATGTAATGAACGTCATGGTCATCCTATTGAAAGATGCGCGTCACATTAAATGACACGCGACCTGGGCTTGATTCAGTGAATCTCGACCTTAATTCATGACTCTGAATAAGCCCCTCCAGATCTCAATCAAGATGAATAAAATGCATTTTAAATTTTTTTAAAGATAGTTGGGATTGAATATGAGATTATCTCAGTCATGCACTCAGACAGTTTCCATTTTGTATTTCGTTTTGTTAATTTTTTGGTGCGGCAAAGGAATACAGTAAATGTGGTTACCACCGAAATAATATAGGGTTCATCCCAACTCCTAGTTAATGACTTGCATAAATCTGGAATATCTGAGCAAAATCAAAAGCTCAACTCTAATGCAGTATTCACACGGTAGTAACCAAGATATCGGATGCAGAAAGAAATAGATCAAAGCTCAAAACATTCTAAACAACCTACTAACATTCAGATTATTATAGGCAGTTCGAGAAAAACTTAAGCGTGGGTTGTTAAAATGGCCCACGGCTTATAAACACTATCTTCCCGTTAACAAATATTCCTGCACGGAGTAGGCAATAAAAATTTATCAAAATATTCAGTTGACTGATAAGTGACTGATTTACTTCGTTTTAGATAGTTAGGTTTTGTGAAAGGTTTTATGGGACCGTTAGGCATAAAACATCAGTTTCAAGACTGTATATAGCAAGTAGAGAGCGATACACTCACGCTATTTTTACAACACTTCTCTTTTAACTTCAGTTCTTGTTTGTTTGTCTGTCTGCTGCAAGTCTTATAATCGATATTTAACACACTTCTGCCTGTCCAATCGATCTGAAATTTTGCACACTTGCGCAAAGTTGGAGACAATGCATGAATAAATTGACAAATAAAATAATTTTGGAAAAAAAATAATTTCATAAATAAAATTAAAAATTACTTTTTAGTGCATTTTCTCATTTATGGAAAAAATGCACTTATGTGCTCGCCATGTCCGTCTGTCCGTCCGTCTGTCCGTCTGTCTGTCCATCCGTGACTTCACGTTCTCATCGATGAGAAAATGCGCTCTCTGTCACTCACTGCAGTGAGTACCGAGTTATATTTTGTAATATTTGATAATAAAATTAGAAATTTATTGCACATGTGTAACATTGGTGACACTGGATTCTTTAGAAGTGTTGTCTTTAAAAAGTAAATTTTAAACGCATATTATTTAGATTGTATTCCGTAATAAGTACCAGAACCTCACGAGCGTTCCTCATCAACTGAAAAATAGTGACAATTGCAATAAATGAATATGAAATTATTTGCAATGAGCATTGAGCTGTTCTTCTGCATCACCAGCTCTGCAGCACTGAGGGCATAAAATATACGACGTTCGTCGCAATTAAAATGATTGAGGTCAGTTTTTACCTATTGTTAAGGTTCAATCAAAGTAAGAGCTGTTCTCCGCTTGACTGTTTACCGCAGTCACTTAATGAAAGAGCTCGTAGGGTAGTCCCTGCTGTCACTTATCTATCGAGCTATTTCTGACGAGCTGCCATCTTGATTGTCAAGTTATGAGGCTGAATAATTAAAGCTAGATATGGCCGGAGTGAAGGCGAAAATGTGTAATGTGAACGTTTACACTTTTATATTATCTAATCACATCCTTTAGTCGATTGGCAGAGAAATTAAAATTGGATGCGATTGCCTAATTGGATGTTTCTACACTGGATTTTGCTATCTTAATTAATTTGCAAAGGCATAACTTGCATATGAAGTTTATAATCAAACCTCAATAAAATAGAGAAGTATAGAGAAGAAGTTCCCAGCAATAATATTTTTAGCAGCTATTTAAAACATTATTGTTTCGTTTATTGTGTAATGTGAACTTTCACACAGTTATATTATCTAATCACATCCTTTAGTCGATTGGCAGAGAAATTAAAATTGGATGCGATTGCCTAATTGGATGTTTCTACACTGGATCTTGCTATCTTAATTAATTTGCAAAGGCATAACTTGCATATGAAGTTTATAATCAAACCTCGATAAAATAGAGAAGAAGATCCTTGCAATATTATTCTTAGCAGATATTTTAAAACATTATTGTTTCGTTTATTGTTACTGACAAAAAGCGTCTTGTTATCTGTGTTTACTAACAGCTGCAAGATGTTTGTGCGAGCCTGACACTCCTACTGTAAATAAGACCGCGAAATTAGCTTTAAATATCTTTGTAGATATTTATACGCAGACTGTAATGCATATGGGGCGGTAAGTGCTGGCCGCTGGGCATTGTTAATTTTTCATAATTTTCACTATGGTTTATTTGACTCTTTTCAACCTAGTTTTTGCGGGCAATATCAGTGCTGAACATCAGCGACGGAATTGTTGGAAATTTGAATTTCAATTTTAACGTAATCGGTCATGATTCAATATACATTCATATAAAATGAATGGGCACTAGAGTCCAAACTGTGAAAACTTTCTTACTCACAGCACATATGTAAAGAGCGGACGTTGAATTGATACATTTTTCAAGTCGGGCCAAACTAGTCGGGTAAGCAGGACTCTAAGATTGAGCCTCCAGCCGATATCTCTCTGGGGAGACTCACAAAGAAGGCGACTCATAAACATCCCTTACGAGAGATATGGAATTGGTTGTGATGGTGTACTCAGTGCCGTCACACAATGGAATCTTTTCGAACCATAACCGTTTTGTGTGCGTCTTTTGATATCTGTAGGGCAAATACGATGCGCGCGCTTCTTGCACTCTCCACCAACGGCCATAGACCAACACATCAATGCTCATTTTGTGAAGGTTGATGAGTGTCTGACAGAGAGAGAGAGCCAGTCGCTTCAAAAAATGTTATTGATCACACGTGACATATGAGTGCAATTTATTAAGAACACGCCTTTAAGTACAATCTGACTATTGTTGTTCAGATACCATGAAGAGTGATAAAGTAATTCATGAACCTGAATTTCAAGAACGTATGAAATGTATTTATGGAGTTGGAGTGAGACAATGATTTTGATACATGTTATGAAAGATTCTTGGCAGTGCCACGTATAGACTTTCATCCTCTGGCCTTTTCTGAATTCAAAATTGTGTATTTCTATTAGATTATGAATGAAAGTCGGCAATTTTAATGAGCGGAGTTTGAATTTTTTATTGTGAATTTGGCAAGATTGATGATCCAGAGTTTTTTTGCGTTGCTTCATAAACAGGTATTCTTTGAAGCAAACTAAAACATTATCTAGACATTTAAAACTTCAAATCGTTTTAAATACTCTCCCTTTTGAAATATAAAAACCTTTTCATACTTTTCTCTTTTCATGCAAACTTTCAGGATATAATTTTGATCCTCAAATGGTCCATGGATCTGCACTAGACCTCTCCTCTCGGCTCATGGATTCATTGATTTTCGTGCCACAATTAATTTGATATAAAGAGCACCTGGGCAAATGATGGTCGGACCGCGGCTGTGGTTGTGCGTGATAGCAAAGCTGGCCAAAGTGCGCCGGCCACGCAGGCTTGAGTGCCTCATGGCTTTGATGAGGTGCCGCTAACTGCTGGTCACGTCAAGACGTCGGAAAAGTAACGCTTAGTCGTCATAATCATTGCCTGTAGTGCTGCTATTACTAAAATATTAACACAGCATGTAACGCTTAGTTGTAATAATCATTGTCTGTAGTGCTGCTATTACTAAAATATCAACTCTGCCGTGAAACGCTTAGTCGTCGCAATCATTGTCAGCAGTGTTACTATTACCAAATTATCAACAAAAAAATATCCCAATCGCAGTCTGCAGTGCTACTGTTCCTATAATATCAACTAATTTCAGGAACTAGTGCGAAGACTCGGGAATTTATACCATAAATAGTAATTGCTTGTCGCAGAAGACGGTCGGAAGAAATCATATTTTTAATGACAAAAATTCATAATTGTCACGGCCCTTGAATATGATCAAGCCAAGCACTTTATGTGACCATGCCAAGTGCCAAAGCANGGCAAATGAAAATCAATAAGAAACTGCAAATGAAAGATTCCTGCTTCAAAGAACAATAATTAGAATCTTGCTGCTTCGAAGAGCAGTAAATAGAATTTCACTGCTTGAGAAGTTTCAGCGCGACGTTAGCGCACTGATAAATCCCAGAAATCAGGGCTATATAGGAGCTCAGTCCTTAAGTAAATAACTTATGGTATTTAGATAAAATTATTTCTTAGTAAATATTGGTTTTCGAGGAGTAATTACGTACCTAAATAAACATATTGCATATCAGAAAGTCAATAATACATTTTAATCGTAATGCTAATTATTATCAAATTAATTATTAGTTAAGAGTATCTTTTTCGCAATAGAGTAATTCAACGATTATAAGCCCTGTCACTAAGAAACTAGCCCAAATATTGTAGGACCTGCAACTTCAGCATCTAATTAACTTCATCGTCTAATATTCTCTATTCTCTAATATTCATAATTTATCGTCACTCACATATTAACATGCTTCAAACCCACGTGAAGACATTTGCATGCCCGGTAGTCCGTGGCCCGTGCAGACATAATTAAAGCTGTGTTCATACATGAGAACATTCAAAAATTAACAATGGTCAATGGATTTTTTATGGATTAAATGGATTAAAAAAAA